GGGTCACACACCCTTCAGGGTGGGGTTCCCCACGGGGGGGCCTGGCCAGTCTGGATGAGGGGCCGAGGGCTGTTGTCAGGCTGGCGGGTGACGGGAGCTCCCATCCGCTCCTTTTTTCTTTTCTTTTTTTTGATTCTGGGCCAGAGCTCTGAGGATCTAGCTCTTAGGCCTCCGCTCCTGAAAGCAGGTATCTGGTTATTTTCGGTTCTATAATCGAAACTCTGTATCACCTCCAGCTCTGAGATCCCAGCTAGCTGAAAGCTGGTTTCTGCGTTTTTTTTTAGCTTCTATATTTGTTGAAATGTTTCAAACTGCAGGCTCAGAGGCCTGCGAGGCAGGCAGGGAACGTTGGTTTCCTCCATCACTGAAGCAAGCAAGCCTCCTGTTAGTTTCAAGCTGCCTGGCTGCCGGCTGCCATCTTGGCTGGCAGTTAATTTGCATATTGCCCTGATTAGCCAATGGGAAGAGTAGGAGTCGTACGCCAATTACCATGTTTCTCTTTTATTAGATAGGATTTCAATAATAATGAATGCCATGAAGAAGACATACACTGGGCTATTTCTTCTTGAAGCAGTCTACCTGCCCACAGTACAATTTCACTCCTATTTGTTCAATTCCTACCCCTTCTGAAAATCTCAGCAAAAGTCCCATTCCTTACCCAAAATCTTCCTCAGTTAATTTAAGCCTCATTTGTTGGTCAACAAATATTGTTCAGCACCTGTGATAATGCTGGGGTTAGAGTAAACAAGAAAGACACATTCCATGTTCTCATGGGGCCTATTATCTGGTCCTCAAGAAGTCTCCCTTGACCTGCATTAGTACTTACTATACACACTGAGTGGCCAGCTTATTATGACCACCTGGCGTTTGTAGGCAAATTAGCTATAATTTCGCACTGAAGTTGCTAGAGGGCCAGACCATTATAAATAGGAAAGCAGGTTGTTTACCACGACAGTAGAAGTGATTTTTTTCTGAGGATATGGGTAAATAAAGTGATTTAACAGCCTTTGAATGTGGGATATATATACTGTATATGTAACATATAAATACAATATATATTGCATGCTGGGGTCCAGCCCCAGCAGGTCCAGGGGTCCCCAAAGGTGTGAACGGAGTCGGCGAAGAAGGAATGACATGGCCACTCCTGCACAATACGAGCACCGTGGCATGGCGCATTGTCTTGTTGGAAGAAGCCATCTCTGTTGGGATATGCCATCAACATGATAAGATGAACTTGTTCAGCAACGATAGTTAGGTATGTTGTGCTAATCAGACGTTGTTCCATACAAATTAAAGGGCCCAAACCATGCCAGGAAAACATTCCCCAAACCATAACACTGCCCCCACCAGCTTGAAGCGTTGTACTCATGCATGTGGGATGCATGCTTTCATGCTGTTTCCATCAAATTCTCACTCTGCCATCTGCATGATGTAACTGGAAATGTGATTCATCGGACCACATGACTTTTTTCCAATGCTCGACTGTCCAATCCTTGTGTTCCTGTGCGAATTGGAGACATTTTATCTTGGTAACTGCAGACAGCAAAGGTGTTCAAACAGGCCTTCAGCTTCCATATCCCATATGATGCAGTGTACGGCTAATTTGCCTACAAACGTCAGGTGGTCATAATAATCTGGCCACTCAGTGCATACCAGTTGTTGTGCATACAGAATAAACTAACATGTATTTGATGCCAAGGCCCTCTCTCCAACTAAACCATAAGGAATAGTTTATTCCACGTACCTATTCCTCAGGGCCTGATAAAAGAGAAAGGAAAATATCAGGAAATAGCAAGCAGGAGCTTTGAATATTCAAAAGCAAAAATCCTAAATCCATGTTAAATAATTCAGTAGACAACAAAAATTGGTTTCATAAATACAGATTGAGGGTGAATAAACACTTTAAGTAGATAAAGGAAGATACAGTTATCTCGACCAGGGCTGGCAAACTTTCTATAGAGGGCCAAATATAAAAGAGTTGAGACTGTATCGGTCACACGTAAGTCTCTATCACCCTTCTTCTCCTGCTCCTCCTTCTTCTCCTTCTCTTTCTTTTTCTTCTTTTATAAACCTTAAACATATAAAAACCATTCTTATTCCAGCAAAGGCAAGCCATGGAGCCAGCAATTTGCTGAGTCTCTGTTCTCCGCAGACAGAACAGTACCACAGAGAGCTGTCAATTATTCCCATCTGTTTAATCTGGGAAGGCTCTGGGGAGGAGGCGGTGGTATTTTGAGACCTTGAGTGAGAGCCGAGCCTTGGCTTGACGGCAAGGTAGCAAGGGAGCAGCATGACCTAATGGAAAGGAGCTGGGCTGAGAGTCAACAGACCTGAATCGGAGTCCTGGCTCTAGGGCCGTCTGTGTGGCTTTGGCCAAGTCGCCCCCGTGCCTCCAGTAACTTCTGTGAGTTATCGCCATGAAAAACGAGCAGAAAAGCAACTTATTGTGAGAATAAGATGAGATCATATCAGAGCACTTTGGAAACTGACAAGCATCCCAGTAAGACCTTGATAAAATTAGTAAAAGCCAAAAATGTAAGCTAAACTTGAAGATTCCAAATTCGAAATGTCACATTATTTAGCCAGCAAGAGAGGAGACGAAATGTGAGAGTCAAATATGATTCTTTATTGTATGGCCTTGGCCAAAATATCTATTTTATAAGCTGCAAGCCTTCAGAAGATAATAGAGTTGTGAGCAGGAAAGACAGCTGGGGATCCCTGAAGAGGCTACACAGAGCCCATTGGTATGACGCCACGAGTGTGTGGAGAAGCTCTCAACCCTCACATGGTCTCCCCGAAAGGCTGCCTTCACAGTCTGGGTGCAGGACCCCCTGGAGGTAATCTCCTCTCATCCAGCACCCCAAGCAGAGGAAACCTGCTCACCTTCAGACAAGGAAAATGTAAAGTCCCCAAAAAAGATTTTGGAGACAAAACAGCTTTTGGTTTACAACTTTTGGCTTTTAACTAACAGGGCCTGATATAGCCCCTCTCCTCTTCCCAGAAAAACACTGTTAAAGACAAAAACAAAAGCCCCAAATTCCCCCAGAGCCTTAATATTGGGAAGATTGAAACAGTCTGTCCATGGAATTTTTAAAAACTATCTACTAACTAAGAAGGCTGATGGCATACATAAAGGAAGACAGTTGGAGGCATGCCCACTTGCATTGTGTGACACAGTGCCATCAGTCCAAGTGACAGTAAGGAAGACCTTTTTACTTTCCTTCTGTTGGCAGTCTTACTCAGTGTTATGGGTTGAATTGTGTCCCCTTGAAAGGATATGTTAGGAAACTCCTGGTACCTTAGGATGTTACCTTGGAAATGGGGCCTTTATAGAGGTAATCAAGTTAAAATGGCCATTAAGATAGACCCTAATTCAGTCTGACTGGTGTCCATCTAGAAAGAGTAAATGTGGACACTGAGGCAGACAAGAGCAGAAGGAAGACAAAGTGAAGAGACAGAAGGTCAATGTCATGTGAAGATTACATGATGAACTGAAGCAACCACAAGTCAAAGATTACTAGTAAATCAACCAAAAGCTAGGAGAGAGGGAACAGGTTCTCCCTTGCAGCCCTCAGAGAGGACCAAGCAACTGACACCTTAATTTGAGACTTCTAGCCTCCAGAGCTGTGAGACAATGCATTTCTGTTCTTCCAACCACTCAGTTTGTGGTACTTTGTATGTTAACCTCAAAAGACTAACGTAAGATACTTAAGGCTTGAAACAATGAGCCAGTCAAGATGGCAGAATAAGTAAATGCAAAACTCACATCCTTCCATGACCACAGAAAATGACAACCAAATTACAGAACAAACATCATTGAGAACCAACTGAATTCTAGCTTAACAGGTATATCCTATAACTAAGGGTACACAGAAGAAGGAAGAGTGGAGACTTGGAATAGACTGGTCCCACACCCACATGTGACAGCTAAATATCAGAAAGGATATCTCAGTTATAGAGGTCCATGAGGGTCAAGGAGTCCCAGCCCCACACCAGGATCCCATCCAAGGGTTCCATTGCTGGGAAGAGAAGTCCCCATAAGTTTCGATGTAAAAACCAGTAGAAATTGTGGCTAAGGTGGAGAGATTCCTGAGTTCCAGCTATTTCTCTTAACAGACTGCCCATAGACTTACTGGCTCTGTGCTCCAGCACTGGGTGCCAGCTTGGAAGGCACCAGGGACATACAGGAGGAACTGAAATGTCTGGCTTCAGAGCAAAGACTGGACAGGCAGCTTTCTCCCCGACAGAAGTGCTGGCAGAGGCCACTGTTCGTTTGATGGCCCTCTCCCTGCAGGCACACGCAGGTGCTATAACAGAGTCTCTACCAACCTAGCTAACACTATTGGTCCCACCCTGGTGATTCCCTGAGACTCTGCTCCGCCCAAAAAGAACTGAACATAATGGAGACAAGCAATCTACCAGATACAGAGTTCAAAACACTGGTCATAAGAATGTTCAATTTAGGGGATCAAGTCAGTGATAACTTCAACAATGATATAGGAAACATAAAAATAAATATTTAAAAAAAATAAACAAGGACCAGTCAGAAATGAAGAATACATTAACTGAAATAAAGAATACACTAGAAGAATCAACAGTAGATTAGATTAAATAGAGAAGCAAATCAGCAATTTAGAAGATAAAGTATCAGAAAACACCCAATCTGAACAGCAAAAAGAAAAAAGAATCCAAAAAAAGAGGATAGTTTAAGGGGCTTCTAGTACATTAAATGTACCAAATTTTACATCATGGGGGTGATGGAAGGAGAAGAGAGAGAGAGTAAGGAATTGAAAACATATTTGATAAAATGACAGAAAACCTCCTTAACTTGGTGAAGAAAATAGACACACAAGTTCAGGAAACACAGAGAGTCCCAAACAAGATAAATCCAAAGAGGCCCACACAAACACACATCATAATTAAAATGCCAAAGGTTAAAGACAAAGAGGGAATCTTAAAAGCAGCAAGAAAAAAAGTTACTTACAAAAGAGCTGCCATCAGACTGTCAACTGATTTCTCAACAGATACTTTGCAGGCCAGAATGGATTGATATAAAGTATTCAAAGTGATGAAAAGTAAGGATCTATAACCAAGATTACTCTACCCAGCAAAACTGTCATTTAGAATCAAAGGGCATAGAAAGAGCTTTAGGAGACAAGACAAGAAAAAGCTAAAGGAGTTAATCACACCAAACCAATATTACAAGAAATGTTAAAGGGTCTTCAAGAATAAGAAAGAATAAGAATAAAAGAATAAGAAGAAGAAGAGCAAGAGCAAGGAGGAGGAGGAGGAGAAATAATGAAATGGCAATAAATATATATCTATCAACTATTATTTTAAATACAAATGTATTAAATGCTCCAACCAAAAAATACAGGGTGGCTGAATGGATAAGAAAACAAGACCTTTACATATGTTGTCTACAAAAGAGTCACTTTATATTGAAAGGCACACAGAGACTAAAAGAAAAGAACAATAGATGCTTGGATAGAGAAGATAAACAAAGAACATATGTACAATGGAATATAACTGTGACATGGATGGACCTAGCAGGTGTTGTGCTGAGTGAAACAGGTCAGTCGGAGAAGGCAAATACCATATGATTTCACTTACATGCAGAATCTAAAGAACAAAATAAACAAACAAATCAGAAATGGACTAATAGAAACAGAGAACATTTTTGAGGTTGGTGGTAAGAAGTTTGGGTGAAAAAGGTGAAGGAATTAAGAAGCACAAATTGGTAGCTATAAAATAGTCATAGAGGTAAAGTACAGCCTCGGGAAATATAGTCAATAATATTGTGATACCTATGTATGCTGTCAGATGGGAACTAGATTTATTGGGGTGGTCACTTTGTAAGTTACATAAATGTCTAATCACTGGGTGGTACACCTGAATCTAATACAATATTGTATGTCAACTGTAACTGAAAAATTAAAATGTTTATTTTTAAAGAACACTTGTAACAATGGCAGGTCTCTCTCCTCTGAGTGAGAAATACCTTTTACAGGCAGTAGAGGGCTCTTTTCCCAACTCCATTCACATACAGCAAGAGGTTGTTGAGAACACATCAACCTAAGCTAATATGGCCGCTCACAATTTCTAGGTTCTTTTGGTGACTACCAACAAGTTCCAATAATTAGAGGTCCATGGGGACTCTAGACCTGCCCCCACCTTATTTCCTGATGTATGTTACAGTGAAATCAAAAGTCTCAAGTCAAATCCTAGCACACATTAAAATACTACTAATGACCAGAAACAGAAACAGACATACAACTGGGTGAAGTCCCAGCCCCCTGTCTTTTAGGCACGTGACTAGTACTTAGCATGAAATTTTCACTCCAAGCAAATACTGTGATTCTAGAGGCAGAATTTAACTAAAAATCTAGTCTGATCAGATGATGAAACACTCCATCAAGTGATGTACCCAGATCTGAATCAAGTCCTAGCCTGAAGGAGGCACTGCAGAGTTGGCTCAAGAAGTAGACCTGGTTTGAAAAAATAAGCCCATCAAAGAAACTGAGGAAGTTACTAAAGCATTATGTCCTAAAAAGTTCACACAGACAGTTTTATTGTCAAGTCAAGTCAAACTTTCAAGGAACAGATAATCCACATGCAATATAAACTGTTCCTGAATAGTAAAAAAATAAAATAACATGTTAAATGTCCACTACAGCTAAGGGTAATCTAAATACCAAAACCTCACAAAGATAGCACCCCAAAAAAGAACTATAAACCAAACCACCATGAGCACAAATTCCTAAATATTAAATCAAACATCAGCCAATTGAATGAAATCATATATTAAAAGGTCATTCACCATAATTAACTTGGGTTATCAAGGAATGCTAAAATATTTTAATACTAGGAAACCAATTAACAAAATAGCTCCTTGATAGATGTGGAATAATCTCAGTAGACACTAAAAAGGCACTTATTAAAATGCAGTACATAGTCCGGCCAGTGTAGCTCAGTGGTTGAGTATCACTCTATGAACCAGGAGGTCACGGCTCGATTCCTGATCAGAGCACATGCCCAGGTGGCCGGCTCCATCTGAGGGGTGTGCAGGAGGCAGCCAATCGATGATTCTTTCTCATCATTGATGCTTCTATCTTTTTCTCCCTCTCCCTTTCTCTCTGAAATCAATAAAAATATATTTAAAAAATAAAACAAAATGCAACACATAGAATAAAAACTCAAAGAAAAGTAGAAGCAGAAAATGATTTGACAAGTCTTATCTTAAGAATCAAACACTGAACACTTTCCTATTAGAATCAGGAAAAAGAAATGTTGGCTATCACCATTATTATTTGAATTGTTATGGAAATCTGGCTGATTAAATAAGCTGTAAGATGTAAATTATAATCATTCTAGAAAATCAAAATTATTATTAGAAATATAATTATATACCTAGAAAATACAATAACTACTGGAATGTGAAAACTTAGTGAAGTGCCCAGATAATATATGTGGATACAAAAATCTGCAGCATTCCCATATACCAGCCACATGTGCTTAGATGACATAATGAAAAAGGTTGTATTCACAATAACAAAACATGCAAAATATTTTTGAAAAGCCTAACAAGGCATGTATCTCAAGTTTTACTTAACAGAGATGACATAACCGCTACTCGAAAGCTGAAGAGTTAACAAAGCTGAAAGTGTGAGCACACCTACGGGGTGCTGTGCTGCATCAGAGACACAGCATGTGGAGGGTCCTAAACTCAGAGGGCTTAGTTTCAAGGTAAAAACAGAATGATATATTAACAACACATACCACATGACAATAAGTCACATTTTCAAAGGACAAATAATCAAATGCACATTTAAAATGTTAAAATAGTTATTTTGGGATGGGGGAGAGAAGGAAAAGAGAATAGGAAATGGAAATAATTCTCTACACCAGAGATTATCTAAAATAATTTTTTAAAGGAAAAATCTGAGAAAACTATAGACTCTCTTTTATGAATATAGATGAAGAATGTTAAACATCAATAAATATAATACACAAAAGTCAAGTAGAGTTTATGTAGAAATTAAAGTATGGCTAAGTATTTTAAAAATGATTTATCCAGTTAAAAAGAAAAAGCATAGCATGTCCTTGGTAGATGCAAATGAACACTAAACAATTTTACCATTAAAATCAATAGCAAATTAGTGCATATGTGGAAAAGTAAAGTGAACCAGATGAAAATCCACCAGAATTAATAATAAGTAATATCAAAAATCAAATCATTAAAGTATTTGATATTGTAAACATGTAGGTTCTTTCAAATTTATTGCAATTTTAACTGCAAATTTAATGCAACTCTTTGAAGAATAAAATGGAATAGGGGACTCATTTTGACAATTACAAAGAAGTCCAAATGGACAAGATCAGACAAAGATACATTATATATAATATATAATATATATATATAAAATAAAGTACCATAACCCAGCCTGCATGGCTCAGTGGTTGAGCATCAACCTATGAACCAGGAGGTCAAGTTCAATTCCCAGTCAGGTCACATGCCTGGGTTGTGGGCTCCAACCCCAGTGAGGGGCATGTGGGAGGCAGCCAAACAGTGATCCTCTCTCATCACTGGTGTTTCTATCTCTCTCTCTCTCCCTCCCCCTTCCTCTCTCAAATCAATAAAAAAAAATTTTAAATAAATAAAATAAAGTACCATATACCAAAACAAAGTTTAACTCATAACCATTAAAATAATATGCTCCAAAATAGGTCAGTGCAAGAAGATAGAAACAAGACAATTTAGTACCATGGCTATTTTTGTTTTATTTTACTACTAGTGGCCTGGTGCATGAAATTCATGCAAAGGGCGGCGGGGTTGTCCCTCAGCCCAGCCTGCACCCTCTCCAATCTGGGACCCCTTGGGGGATGTCAACTGCAGGATCGGGCCTAAACCGGCAGTCGGACATCCCTCTCATAATCTGGAACTGCTGGCTCCTAACTATTTAGGGGAGACTTTGGCAGCTGAGAGATCCCTCCCTATTTTTATCTGCCACACATGGGTATCGCACCAGCTCATGCTGCCTCTCAATCCCTCCTGCCAGTCTTGATGTAGAAATATTTAGTTTTAGGGCTTCTATTCAGCAAGACTTCAGGTGGTTCTGAATGATGGTTGTTCCGACTGCTTCTGCCTGCCAGCCTGATCACCCCCAAGTACCCTCCCTTGCCGCGACCCACCTCCTCCGCCGGGACCTGCCTCCTCCGTGCAAGGTGGCGGGGATGCGGGACTGGCCTCTTCTGTGCTGCGTGGAACCACAGGACCCCCAGTACTCACCACACAGAGCGGCTGCTGGGCCTCGCCTCTGGTGTGCACGTGCCAGCTTGTGGAGGCCATCTTGTGCCGACGTCACACACAAGGGTCACCTAGGCTTTTATTAGTATAAATTTTTTTCATCACCATTCATCCCTTCTATGCCCTCTTCCACCTGCACCCATCCCCTCCCCACCCACAATCACCACTGTTGTCCATGTCCATGAGTTCTCTCTCTCTTTTTCTTCTTTTTGCCCAATCCCCCCAAAACCCCAGCACACACACCCCAAGAGCTTTCTGCCTACTGTCTATCTATGGGTCTGTTGTTTTTGTTGTTATTGTTAATCTTCCCCTGAGGATACTTTTTCCATCGATTTTTAGAGTGAGTGGGGAGGAGGGAGGGAGGGAGAGGGAAAGAAAGAGAAACATCCTGAGGATACTTTTTCCATCGATTTTTAGAGTGGGGAGGAGAGAGGGAGGGAGAGGGAAAGAAAGAGAAACATCGATGTGAGAGAGATGCATCAATTGGTTGTCTCCAGCATGCATCCCAACCAGGGCCAGGGATTGAACCTGCAACCCAGGTATGTGCTCTTGACCAGGAATCAAACCCGCAACCCTCAGTGCACAGGCTGACATTCTAACCACTGAATCACACTGCCCAGAGCTATGATTCTATTCTTTATTTTAATAATTCTGTTATCAGGATGTGACTCAAGAATTTTAAACTGTTATGATTTTTAATCTCTCTCCATTCATTGTTCTCATAATGTTTAATGCCCTAGTGAATCCAAGCAAGTCTGTATGCAGACCATTTAAGAGAACTGCCTGGGACTCCAGCAGCCTCCATCTCACTCAGTCACAATCCCTGTTGGTTTTTACAGCCATAAAGTATGGGGACTTTTCTTCCTGGCATTGGAACCCTGGCCTGGGAGGCCTGGTGTGGGTCTGGGATCCCTGGTCCATGGCGTG